GTGCTCTCTCCAGCAGGCAGGAAATACGGGCTGGAGGTGGGAATTTGCACCCTCTGTGCAGGGGTGTGAGGGGCATGGCACAGGGGCTGGGGGCTCAGCCTGGCACATGGCACACCTCTCCCAGGAGAACGGGGCACATTGGATATCCCAACCCACCTGGCTGCATCCAGGGGGTTCTGAGCTCCAGCTGGGCTGGATCTGCCTGCTGGAGGCCCTTGACATCCCAGAGGGTGCAGCCCATCCATCCCTATCCCAGAAGGGGTTTTGGGGGTGTCTCAGCAGCCACCCCCACCGGAGGTCTGTGTACCAGAGGGATGCATCCCCCCAGGCCCCTCAGCTCTCCATCCCTGTGCACGGTTGCCATGGCAATGAGGGATGAAGGCTCCTCGTGTTCCTCAGGCCACTGCTGAAACACTGGTTGGAGTTAATGCCAGGGAGCCACCCCTGTGCTCTGTGCCAAGTGTCATCTGTGGGAATCCAGGGCTTCCCTCTGGCTGCCCTGGGACCCTGGCAGGGGTCAGGAACCCCCCCGGACAGAGGCCCCAGAGACACTGTCTGTGATCTCTGTCCATGGAAAAGAGTTTTCAATCTTACAGGATGAATTACCAGTTCTGAGTGTTTGATATGAGTAATAATTAAGTGTGGCATGGGTGCAAAAGTAAAATTTTAGGATTCTAGATTAGGGGTTCGAAGGGGACAAGATGGAGGAAATTGGGTGTGCCTTGTCCTTTTTCTCCTTCTTCATGCCCTCCATGTTTCACTGTGGTGTTGGCATTTTTCTGTTGGTTTAGGCTGGGGACACACTGTCCAACGTAGGTGACAGATATTGGCACGTTATTGTAAATCCAGCACAGGTAGTTTGTGGTATTTAATGTTTGTAACATCCCACTGAGGGCAGAGCCCCACACGCTGCCCTGCAGGACAGAGCTGCGGCAGGGCAGCAGAACATGTTAGAGATAAACAGAATAAACAACCTTGAAACCAGCACAGACCAATTATGGCTTCTGCTTTGGCAGCGGGGCAGAAAGACAGAGACTTTTACAATCTCAGAATCATCAATACACACAAATTCCAGCAATCATCCCCAGCCCATGGCTTGTCCTCTGTGGCACTGCGCTGTCCCCAGCACTGTGGGGTGTCCCCAAACCTGGCCCAGAGCACAGCCAGCACCATCAGCTTGGTCCCATCACTCCTAAACACCACCAGACCTCCACACACCCGCTGCCAGAGAGCCGAGGCGTTTCCCACATCTAAAAAAAAGGTAATTAAATGGAAAGGTCGTTCTTATTTATTCTTTTGTTACATAACCCCCGAGCTACCAAATAGCGAAATTAAGTCTTGGAGTGTTTAATGAAGGATCAGGGAGAGCAGCTCATCATTTCAAGAAGCTGTTCCCGGTGCAAAGGCAGCACACGGAGTGGGGCTGCTCCGCTGGGCACTCCGGGAAGCTGCCCCCGGGCACCGGGCAGGGCACCGGGCAGGGCTGGGCACCGGCAGCGTTCCCTTTTATGCTCACAGGGGAAGGATTTTTTTTAATAGGGCCCCATGGAGACATCAGAGCAATTTTCAAGGAGGTTTGAAGCCACCGGGAAGCTTATTAGATCCGTTCTGCAGAGTTAATTTGATGTTGGTAATCAGCGAGCAAGTTAAGCAGTTAAGGAGATGGTGGCTGCTGAAGGGCTGGGCTGTTTAGCCGCCTTGTAAGCAATGGTTACTAATGAGAGGCTCATGAATATGCATGAGGGATGATTACAGCGTGGAAAGGGCAGTCGGCAAACCATAAACCTAATTTTAATCTTTTTATTAACAAAGTCACGTTATTAATAATAGACTTTACCTTGAGACCCAGCTGCAGCTGGCGATTCCTGTGCTCAGCAATGCCCAGCACCAGGGAGGGGACAAGGATGGGACCCACCGTGATGTGATGAGCCCCCCTGACTGGGGACCTCCTCCATCAGCACAGGATGGACCACCAGGGACCCTCACCCACCCTCCTTCCCGGGCTGCTGCTTGGACAGGGGCACAAGGAGCCAGACACTGACACCTCCTTGTCCTTCTCCTTGCCCCAAGCCCTGTCCCACCAGCCACAAGTCACTGCCACCATGGCAGTGCCACATCACAGCTGGGCACTGTCCCTCAGTCCTGGAAAAGGACAGTCCTAATTGTCTCCGTGTCTAATTAATTGTAATTATTTTCTTATGGCACCGCTGTAACGAGGCAGCAGCTCCTGTGTGAAATGCTGAAGCAAGGGATGTAGAACATGTTAAAAGATATTAATCTACAAATGAAAATGATTTTAATTGGATTCTGCTTTTGGGGTCGGGTCACTGCTCCATTTTCAATCAGAGTTGTCCAGTCAGCAAAGCAGCAGCACAGCCCTTTCATAGGGAAACAGCGAGCGGCTCGCAGAGGTTAATAGGAATGTTGGAAAATAAATAGGTTATTGATTGATAATAACAATAAGCTGACTCCAGTCCTACCTTGGTGACCTTCCCTCACCCAACTTAGAGAAAACTCAGTTAGCATCTAATTATGGATCGCCTCACAATCCCACATATTAATGAGAGTGTGGCTGCATGGGCCTGGAGCTGCTCCCGGTGGAGGGAAGAGCCCAAACACGGTTGATCCTGGAGAAATCAGGATCTGGGACCCCTTGGCATGACATGGAATCACAGAATGGTTTGGAAAGGACCTTAAAGCCCATCCATTGCCACCCCTGCCATGGGCAGGGACACCTTCTGCTATCCCAGGTTGCTCCAAACCCATCCAACCCAGCCTTGGACACTTCCAGGGATGGGGCAGCCACAGCCAGGGCTTCACCACCTCACAGGGAAGAATATTTCCCTGATGCTCAACCTAAGCCTGCTTTCTGTCAGCTGAAAGCTTTATCCTGGTGCCCAAGCAAGCCACAGCCCCTGCCTTGTTCTGCAGAGTGGAAGAGGCAAGGACAGCAGCTCAGAGCTCTGTAATTGATACTTTAATTGCTTCAAGATGTGCCAGGATGTCCTGCCTTCAGCTCCAGCCTCGCTCAGTATCCCACATGTGCCTCTGGGCTCTGCTTGCTGCAAGACCCGGAATAGGCAGAGCTGGCTGGGGAAAAAAGAGGTTTGCAGAGGGTGGGCAGGGGTGGAGTTAAGGAGGTTTTTCCTTGCCCAAGGCGAGCAGGCACGCTGAGTGCCCAGGGCACTTGCTCAGCGGCCCCACAGGGGTGATGCCCGCAGTTAAGGAGTTTTCCACTTCAGGTGGACCCAGCTGTGTCCCTGTGAGTGCTGGGGACAGCAAACACATGATGCTTCCCGGGATAAATCCCCAGGATCTGAGAAAAACCTGGATAAGGGTGTGACTGTGTGAGCACAGCTGTATCTGCCTGCCGGCTGAAAGGGAGGGAGGGAGGGGAGAATGGAAGATCAGTGGGGTTTTTAATGATCTATTTGTAGAAGTGGGAACAGAAACACCAATCCCAGGCAGTGTGGTGCAGCCAGGACTTGGGCAGAGCTGCGGGCATGGAGCTGCTCCCTGCACTGGCTCCCTGCCTGCTTCCCTGGCTCCCTCAGCAGCTCCATGGCCAGCTCTGGGACATTTTGGAAAGGCAATTTGGGTATTCTCAATCCCTCTGGCAAAGCCCTTCCCTCAGGGCCCCTCTGTGGCAGAGAGCCCCGTGCCCCCCAAATCCCCGGATCCGTTTCACAGAAGTGCGGCGCGGTTTGATGTCCATGAGCATCACTTCTCCTGCTTGGACACTTTCCCTGTCACCACTGGCTGGGGGCACTCGCTGTGACACAACAAAATGCTGGGAAAATAAACACAGAAACAGCTGGGAAGGGACATGTGGGAATCCAGGGCATCCCTCTGGCTGCCCTGGCAGGGCTGGGACCATGGCAGGGGTCAGGAACCCCCCTGGACAGAGCCCCCAGAGACACTGTCTGTGATCTCTGTCCATGGAGAGGAGTTTTCAATCTTACAGGATGAATTACAAGCTCTGAGTGTTTGATATAAGTAATAATTAAGTGTGGCACGGGTGCAAAAGTAAAATTTTAGGATTCTAGATTAGGGGTTCAAAGGGGACAAGATGGAGGAAATTGGGTGTGCCTTGTCCTTTTTCTCCTTCTTCATGCCCTCCATGTTTCACTGTGGTGTTGGCATTTTTCTGTTGGTTCAGGCTGGGGACACACTGTCCAACGTAGGTGACAGATATTGGCACGTTATTGTAAATCCAGCACAGGTAGTTTGTGGTATTTAATGTTTGTACCATCCCACTGAGGGCAGAGCCCCACACGCTGCCCTGCAGGACAGAGCTGCGGCAGGGCAGCAGAACATGTTAGAGATAAACAGAATAAACAACCTTGAAACCAGCACAGACGAATTATGGCTTCTGCTTTGGCAGCGGGGCAGAAAGACAGAGACTTTTACAATCTCAGAATCATTAATACCACAGATTCCGACAGGGACGGAGCCGGGCTCCTTCCCCACAGCCGGAGGAAGGCAGGCAGGCAGGAGCCGTGTCCTGCTCCCCGTGTGCCAGACTGGAACCGCAGAACCGAGGGTCGCTTTGGAAGCACTTCAAGCTCGTCCCTTCCATCCCCAGCCGCGGGCAGCGCAGCTTGGTCGCTCCCAGCCCCGTCCAGCCGGAATTTGGGCATTTCCAGGGATGCAGCCGGGCTTTGCTGGAACACGAGCTCCACCTGCCGCCTCCCTCCGAGCCCGGCCCGCTCCGGCAGTGCCCCCGCAGCCCCTCCGAGCCCCGGTCCAGCTGGGGGGCGGCGGGGGCTCCGTGCCCCCAGACCCACCCGCCGGGGATGCCCGGGGGTACCCGGGGGTGCCCGGAGCCCTTTCTCCCCAGCGCCCACCCCGGGCCCCTCCGGTCCTGCCTCACCCCCGGGGCCTCAGCAGGATGCCGAGGTGAGAACAGCCCGTCCTGACCCCCCCCCCCCAAGGGAGCTGGGGCACCCCCAGCCCCCCCCCACACTGCACAAAAACAGAAGACAAAGAAGACAGCGAGGTGGTTGCACACTTGCCATGTTCACAGTAGACATTACAGGCAGTGGGGACATCCTCGGGGCTGTGGGGACATCCTCGGGGCTGTGGGGACATCCTCAGGGCTCTGGGGACATCCTCGGGGCTCTGGGGACATCTTCAGGGCTCTGGGGACATCCTCAGGGCTATGGGGACTTATGGGGCTCCTGGCCAGTGCCCAGCCAGCGAGGCTGTGCCCGCAGAGCAGGGGCAGCTTGAGCTGGAGCACCCTGGGCAGGACAGTGCCCCCAGGGCTGCGCCCCTGCCCGTGGCACTGCTGGGGTGCCCTGGCCACACGTCCACCACCACAGCTGGAAGGGGGTCTGCACATGGTGCCCCTCTCCACACAGCTCTGGGGACGGCAGCAAAGGGGGATGGACAGACAGAGGGATCAACTCCTGCCAGCCACGGGGATTGGGGAGCAGGGACAGGGAGCCCTGAGGTGCGGGAGCAGAGCAAAGGAGGAGCCTGGGTGGTTGGGGGAGCCTCTCTGCCCTCCTGCCCTGCTCTGAGGGGGGCACTGGTGCCCTGTCCCCACTGTGCAGGCTGTGCAGGGTGACATTTGCCAGCTCCATCCTCTGCCATCGAGGTGGTCCCACGTCTCCCCTGGGTGACCAGCCTGGGGAGGTCCCCCTGGGTACAGGGGGGTTGCTCTGGAGCAGAGGAGGGGTCTGTGGGGCAGGGAGGAGAGTCCCTCAAAGTGGTGGGCTCTGACAACTTGTAATGCTCCTGTCCTGTGCAGGAGCCCTGAACCCACCCACCCTGGGACTGACCTGGCTTGTCCTCCTGTCCCATTCCTGTCCCATTCCTGTCCCATTCCTGTCCCATTCCTGTCCCTGTGCTCCTCACTCTGCCCACAGCAGGGCCCTGTCCCCCCTTCCATCAAGCACAGGAGCATCAGCCCTAAAATCCATCCTGGTGGCAGCTGTGCAGAGGAAGGGCCTTTGGGGGGTTGGGGGGATAAGGTGGAGGTTGGACAGACACAGAGCTGAGTGGGGAGGGGACCCCAAGAGCCTGAGAGAGCCCCCCCAGTAAAGTGGCAGGCTGGGGTTAGTGCCTAGCAGGGATGCCCAGGGGAGGTGGCAGTGTCGTGGGGCCACCCAGGGGACCCCGTCCGGCTCTGCCTTCCAGTGCAGGCAGGAGAGCTGCCATGGGGTGACAGTGACATCAGCCAGTGGCCACAGGTGCTCTGGGGAAGCCCTGGCCGTGGCAGCAAAGAGCACAAGGCAAAGCCAAGAGAGAGCAGCCAGAGCTGGACCCTGTCTGGTTCTGCCCCCCTGACAGAGCTGCCGTGGCCTTTGGCTGAGGGGTGCCTTGTCCCCCAACAGCCCCAGCCTGGGATGTGCTTGTGGGCCAGCAGCACAGAGCCACCATCCTCTGCTGGCACCCAGGGCTCAGCCCTGTCCCCTGCTCTGAATGCCACCAGTGCCTCGCCATGTGCCAAACCCACTCCACCCTGGCACGGTCCCTGCAGAGGTTGGGGATGTCCATTTATGGCTGACAGACAGACAGAAAGGCCAGGCTGTGCCCCCATCACCTGATGGCAGAGCCCCTGTGACCCCCAGTGCCCAGCCCTGTCCCTGGCTGGGGCCGGGACTCCCTGCAGTGGGACCCGGCGGTGACACGGAGCTGAGTTAGTCAGGGCCACGCTGCCAGCAGCAGCTTCCACATGCACCAGCACAAGAGAAACTGTGGAGAGACAGGGGGGTGAAGAGAGGAGGCCAGGAGCACCAATGCTGGGAGCAGCACGGGAACATTCCCCATGACAGTGACCTGAGGCCTCAGGAGAGCCCCAAGCTCAGGCTCATGGCAGCCTTTGCTCCGTGGATTAATCTCTTTGCAAATGGGGTTTGCTGGGCCTCTACAGCCATTATTAATGGGTTTGTACTGTCCTGTTGCCACTCAGCCTCTTTTCCTCATCGTGCCACGTCAAATTTGTTGGAAAACAAATTTGAATTTTTCCAAGAGGGAAATATTCATAGTGCCCCAGCCTGGGCATCTTCTTTCCCATGGTACCAAATGGAAGCCAGGGATGCTCAGCAGCACGAAAAATCGAGTGCTGCAGGTGGGTAAGTCCAGGAGGAGCCACTGTCACTTGTCATGGCAAACAGCACCCGAGAGGCAAAGTGCAAAGAGAGTTGTTAGTAGCAAGAGAGAAACAGTCAGGGAGGATTAGTACAGTAGAAACAGAAGTACAGGTTAGTAACAGAAGCAGGGCACTGGTCTGCCTTAGAGGACACACACACTGGAAGAGAAATGAAGAGAAAAGCAGCAAGGGTTAGTTTGTTTAATTCAGTTCAGGAATGTGTTAGTAACAGAGATCTACTGGCTTAAAAAGGAACTGAAAAGCTTCTGCTGATAAAACCGTTTTAGGCTCCTAGTCAGCAACAGGCTCCACAGGCAGAGCTGGGCAGGGCGTGTGGGAGAAACTCTCTCCTTGTGCTGCTGAGGGCTGCCCGGGCCAGGGGATGCTGCTCCCCTGTCCTGCCCAGGGACCAGCACTCCCCTCTCCTGCCCACGACAGGGGCTGTCTGCATGAGCAGGAGCTGCCCAGCAGCACTCCTACCCAGTGCTGGGCAGCCAATCCACTCTCCTGCCCTCATCCAGGGCTGCCCGTGCCTGTCCCTGCCTGTGCAGCCTGGCACTGCCACCTGGCACTTGCAAAGCCCTTTTGCAGCTTTTCTGTTCCCCTTTAAAGGCAGCGCTGCTGCCGTGGTTAGTGGGCACGAGGCAGGGCTGCTGTGGGTTAGTAGGGCATGCTCTGGGCTGGTTAGTGGGTTAGTCCGTGTGCCAGGGGCCGTGGTGGCCCCAGGGAGGGCACAGGGGTCCCAGCAGGTTAGTAGGTTAATAGTGGCAGCATGCAGAGCCAGGCCCATCAGCAGCAGGGCTCTGGCTCACAAGAGCAGGAGGCGTTTTTGGGCTTTGACATTTGGGAAGGTGTTAGCGGAGGGTTCAGCCAGTTCAGCTGTCCCGGGATGAAATGCTCAGCAGGCACCTGCTCCTCTGATCCTGCCAGGGAGGTACCAGAGGCCCCTCACAACAGGTACTTCCCACCCCTGGGCTGGGGAAGGTGAGAGGGATGCATGGAGGACACAGTCCCAGCAGTGCCTGAAGGGCTCTGAAGGAGCTGGGAGAAGCAGAGGCCACAACAACTGCTCCAGGACTGCAGCAAGCTCCCACTGCACGTGCAGGGAGCAAGAGATCCAGCAGGGAAAACCACCATGGAGCAGAGGAAAGGTGACCCACAGCTTACCCCCTCCCCATCGGGAGCTGCCTCCCCATGGGGCTGAGCAGTGCTCACACAGGAGCACCATGCCCCAAAAAACAGGGCTGGGATGGGGCACTCAGGAAAGCCTCTGCCTTGTGTCCCTCTGGGTCACCTCCTCCCACAGCATGAGCCTCTCTGGTCCCCAGGAGGACGCTTTTCTAGTTTGGACTTCAGGGCTGTAACCCCTGCCAGGAGCTGTGTCTGCCCCCAGCCCCCAGCCCCCAGCACCCCCGTCCTGCCTGTGTGGGGACACGGGTCTGGGTGGCTGCTTGGCCAGGACGGGTCCCACCTGCTTCCAGGGCACCACAGAGGCCATGGCAGGAGGATTCTCTGCCCATGCTCCTCTCCAAGCTCCAGGATGCTCCACACACCACCAGGTGTTTCAGAAAGCTCCAGGACTTCACCAACAGCCAGAGAGAAGGGCAGGATCAGTGGGGACAAACAGAGCCCCTTTGGGCTCTGGCCATGGTGTCACCATGAGCAGCTGGCACAGCTCTGTCCCCACTCCCTTTTCCTTCTCCCTCCTCTGTGCTCAGGGAAGGAGACAGGCCTGGGGGAGCAGTGGGAGGCAAGGACACCCCAGCACCTTGCAGAAAACGGCGTGCACGCACAGCCCCGTGTCCTCAGGTGTCACCACCGCAGTCTCCCGGGCTGTGTCCCCCGCAGTGGCCGGGCTGGTGGCTCCACACCACGGCACTGGGTACCAGGGCGCTCTGCTGGGGCCAGCCTGGCTCTGGCATCGTGTGCTGGCTGTGATGGCAGCTCCTGGGCATGGTCAGTCTGGCCAAGCAGGAGCTGGGCCGTGCCCCTGGGGTGGTGGCACTGAGGAGCAGAGATGCTGTGAGACCCTGGGCTGTGGCAGCCACCCCCTCCCCACAGCTGGGCACACGTGGGGGACACATTCTCTCATGCAGGTGGCCCTGGGGATGGTGTGAACCCCTGCACCCCGCTGGGGCCTGGGGAGAACCCTCCAGGAGATGAAGCCCTGAGGAGGAAGGATGATCCCGGCTGCCCACCACCCTCCCTGCTCACCAGGGGTGGAAGAGCATGGGGCTGGCACTACCTGTGTCCCCTCCCGAGTCCTACCTGTGGTCAGCAGCTGCAGGAGTGCTGTGCAATGTCCCCTGCTCCACGAGGCTCTGCGAGGGGACTGTGTGAACAGACCTCAGGTCAGTCATTAGCAGCTGCAAGAGAAACAACCAACGCAGCAAGGGGGACAAACAGGGCCCCGTCCTCAGGCACAGCCCAGCCGAGCTGGCAGGAGGGTTGGGCACAGACCTTCCTGTCCCTGTCCCCTTGCAGGGCAAAGGAGCTGAACCAGGCACAGGGGGGCATTGGGACCACCACACCAGAAATGGTGGCAATGCCCCAGACTGTCCCTGCTTGTTGCTGTAACCCCTGATTGGCACTGCCAGCGTCACTTCTGCTGCCACCTCCGCCCCTGCCCCTGCCGTGGGGTAAAGCTGCATCACTGGGACCCTGTGGTGGCACAGGCACTGGTTAAACTGGGGCAAGGGGCGGTCACAGCCACGCTGTGGTGGGTGCTGCTCCATCTCCTCAGGGATTTGGGGACACGTGGCCGGTGCCAGCAGCCAGCCCATGTCTGTGACCTGCCCTGCCCTGCCCTGCCCTGCCCTGCCTGCCTGGGCAAACCGGGACAGCAGCAGGTCCCAGGGGAGCGGGGCGTGATGACTCTGCAGTTCAGCTGCAGAGACACTCCTGCTTCCCATGGCTCATTGTCACCACACGCTCATTGTCACCACAGGCTCATTGTCACCACAGGCAGGACAGTCCCTGCTGTGGGGACCGCAGCTGCAGGAAGGAGCATCTGGCAGATGGATCCGAGCAGGAGGTGCCCGTGCTGGGGCAGGGTGGCCTCTCTGGCCTGGGCACAGAGCACATCCCAGGGGACAGGGAGGGAAAAACCATTTTGTGCAGGCAGGACTCACCTCAACATTCGTCCTGGGCGTGAGCTTGAGCTGCCTCTGCCACACGTGTGGGTGGCACATGCAGTGGCCCTTTGTGGGGGCTGGACACCCGAATTAAATGGGGCTCAACCCCCTCCTCGAGTGGGGAGAGAGGGAGGGAAGGAGCACAAGCTCCACTGCGGGCAGGAGCAGGAAGATGAGGGCACAACAGGCGAGAGATCCTAAAGAGACGGTCTCTGGGATGTGGCATCCACACACCCTGGCCCCCCAGATCCCAGCAGGGTGGGCAGACAGCCCGGCCCTGTGCCCTGCCAGCGCTGCCCGAGCCTCTCTGCCATCCAGCAGTGCCCAGGCTCTGCTGCTGCTGCAGGGATGCCAGGCACCGCTGCCTTTGTCTGCAGCTCTGGGGTGGGCAGCCCGGCAGAAGAGGGAGGTGTGAAAGGCTCCTTGCAAACCCACAACGCCTGAAAATCGGATTATTTCTGGGCTCCTCCTGGCTCCCAGGGCAGGACTTACCCGCACACACAAAAGGCTGCGAGACAATGAGGGAGAGAAAATGGCTCCGCAAGAAGAGCATCTGCCAGGTTAACTGGGCAGCGGGGGAGGAAGGGCTGGGCTGTGCCCTGGGGCTGCTGGCCCCAGCCTCGCCTCGAACCCCCGCCTAGGATCATCAGCTTTAGCTGTTTGAGTAAAACAGCATTTTGCCTACAGATCCTCCCAGGAGCATTGAAAATCAGGCAAGAATCCATTTACCTGGCAGGATCCCTATCCTTGATGAGGATTCTGAAAAAATAAAAAAATTAAAAAATAAAATTACAGACAAGCGGTGCAGCAGTTAGTCCTGATTTGGGCCGGGGGCTGCAGGCGGTGTTCGGGGAGGGGGGGACAGGCTGCCCAGCGCTGCCTCAGGACCGGGATGTGGCCGGGAACACGGTGTGGGATGCGCGGCTGCTCCTGCCCTAACAAAGGGAGGGGTCCTGGCACCCCCGAAGAAGGACAGAGTCCTGTCGCGGGGGGGGCTCTCGTGGGGTTATTTATAATTAGAGGATAATATATTGAGAAGGAGGCTAATTTTGCGGCATGGAGAGGAGGGAGCAGCCGCACTCGCCGGTTCCGCACCTCTCGGAGCGATGCCCGCAGGACCCCCCACCCAAATCCCGGGGCGACATCACCCCCGCTCCCGCCCGGAGATGGGGGTGGCTCTCTGCGCCCCCAGACCCCACCGGCAGCCCTTCCCCGTCCGCAGGGAGCGGAGCCACATCCGCGGTGCGTTACCTGCTCCCGGGGGGCTGCGCTGGGGCCGGGGGGCTCCGGTTCCGCTGGTTCCTGCCCGCCGCGCCGCTCCTTTGTGCTGTGCTGGAGCTTTCCCGGAGCATCCCCGAGGAAGAGGCGGCCGAGCAAACTCCTCCTCCTCCTCCAGCAGCCCCCGGCCCCCCCGGCCCTACCTACAGCGCAGGAGGATGCTGCAACTCGCATTAAATTTTAATGCTGGAAACGCGGCCGAGTCGCCTTTTCCCCGCACCGCTCCCGCTGCGGGAGGCGCTGGGGACCCTTTTGGCCACGCTGCAAATGCCACTGTCACCCCCTGCCAGGACATCGTTCGCCTGGCTCCCCACAGCCATGGGTGTGACCCAGGGGACACGGGACAAGGGGGGAAGGGGCGTCGGGAACATCCCTGGGGACGTGGTGGGCAGGATGAGCCCGGGCTCGGTGGGGACGGGTGGCACAGAGCAGCCCGGCCTGGGGACACAGCCCTGTCCGAGGACAGCCCCCACCATGGCGGGGACTGTCCCCTCCCGCCCGGGGGTTGTGACAGCCCCTCCGCAGCGCTGTGCAGCTGCTGGGCTCTCGTATTGTTCTCTAAAATCCCCGCCGGGTCTCGCCGCCAGCTGCCCACCGTGCCCGGCCATGTGCTGGCCCCGCTCCCGGACCCCGCGTCTCCCCAGGGCCCTGGAGCTCAGCAGGGACAGTGGGGACAGCACGGGGGTGACAGGAAGCTCCGCTCCTCCCTGGCTGCCGGCCCCCGGATGGGTTTGCCCTGGGGCGCAGGAGGGTTTCATTCAGCCCATCCCAAAACTTTTTGTTTCTTCTTCTATTTAGACTTTTTAATTGTGATTTCCTGCGGAGAGAATCCCTCGCTGGGCAGCATTCCCTCCGCTGGTGGCCTTGCTGCTGGAAATGTCACGGATGGGACATTTTCACCACATCAAACATTTTCTCCAGAGCTCTTCTGAAATGAGGAATTTTTCCAGGCCAGCCTTTCCCTGCTGCATTCACAGCTTTGTCTGCACGCGGGGTGTGCGGGAGTGAGGGATGGGTGCAGGGGTGTGTAAAGGTGGGTGAGATGCTGCGATGGGTACAGGGTGTGCATGGACATGAGGATAGATGCACACTTGCTCGATCCTGCAGCTCCTTTCAGCCCCTTGCAGGTGCTGGAAGAGCACCTGGTGTCTGTGGGGCGGTGGGATGTGGGGGTCCTGCAGACCCCCGGATTTTCCAGCCGGGCAGAGAAATTCCCCTCCCCTGCAGAGCCCCGCTCTGCCCCCGGGGAGCGGCATCACTCCTGCCCACGCACCCCCACGACCCTGATCCCCAACTGCCAGCGCCGCCTTGGACAACCGAGCCTTTATTGAGCTTTGTGGCCGCCGCCCCGCGGGACAGGCGGTGCCGGGCGCGGGGGGCTCCGGCCCCGCGGTCACTGCTGGACCCTGCGGATGGACTGCACCTGGCCCGTCTGTGCGTGGGACCCCCACTCGCGGACGTGCTTGTACTCGCCGGCGGGGCTGTCGCTCTCCAGGAGGTACTGGAAGCCCCGGTAGCCCGGGTACTGCGAGCACACCCACCTGCGGCACAGCGGAGGGGGCGCTGCCTCGGGGCCGCTGCCTCCCGGAGCATCCCCCGGTCCTGCCGGTGTCCCGGCGGTGCCGCCAGGCTGCGAGCCCCGCTACTCACGCGCCGGAGCGGACGAGGAAAGAGCCCACGGTGCTGCTGCCCCAGCCCAGGGCGGGCAGCGAGGGGCAGTCATCGCTCATCTCTGCCCGCTTGCCCTGGAAGTTTTCCTCCTCAAAGAGCATCAACCTGCTCCGTCCGTGATCCTGCGGCCGAGACGGGCACGGCTTTGGCGTTGTCACCCCCGTGCGTGGCCGGTGGGCTGCGGGGGTCCCCCCGGGGCGGGGGCACTCACGGCGCAGGCGATGGGGCGGAAGGAGCACATCCTCTCCACGCGGTAAGCGGTGCTGCCGCTCCACGCCTCCCAGCACGGGTACTCGCCTCTCTCCAGCACGAACTGCTGCCCCTGGAAGCCGCAGTGCTCGAAGCCTGCCCACCTGCCGGGCAGACAGGGGTGAGACCCCCGGGGTGCCCACCCTAACCCTCCAACCCCCCTGCTACCCGTGGGGTCCCACAGCACTGTGGGGTGGCAGTGCCCGGGACCCCCACTCACGCCCCGCTCTCGATCTTGCAGGAGCGGACGGTGCTGAAGCCGTGCTCCGGGGTGCTGTAGCAGTCCGTGGTGAACTCGTGCTTCTTGCCCTGGAAGAAAGGCTCATCCCACACCACGATCTGGGGGGAATAGAGGGGGTCAGGGGGCTCTGGGGGTGCCAAGGCCCCGAGCCCATTCCCAGGGGTTCACAGGGCACGGTGCTGGGCCTGCCCAGGCGCCCATACCTTCCAGAGACCGGAGGATTTCCTGCAGCGGTGGGTCATGGTGGCTCTGTCGGCAGTTAAAGCTGCCCCCCTGCCCCGATGAAAATGACCTCAGGAGCCCTTGTTGTCCCCCTTCACGAGCAGTGTGGGTGACAACAAGGGGGTTGCTCCATGCTGGAGCAGATGAAGAGCTCTGTGGCTCTCCCTGCCCAGCCAGAGCTGCCACCAGGGCCATGTGGAGCAGCGGGCACCTGGCCCAGTGGGCACCTGGCCCTGGCAGACATCCCTGCCCGTGCCCAGGGAAACTCCTCCTCCTTTGGCAGCTCCCTGAGCCAAAGCCCCGGTGCTGGCAGGCGGTGCAGGCAGGGCAGTGCTGAGCTGGGAGCACTGCAGAGGCGCTGGGTGCCCACACTGAGCATCAACACCTGCCACAGCCAGGGACAGCCCCGACCCCTCGGTCCCCAGCCCCCCACCACAGCTCCCAGTGCCAAGGAGAGGTCTGGCCCTGGATCTTGGATGCTCTTCCAGCTGTTCCCACAGCTGCTCAGTCCCAGGGCCCAGCCATGGGCATGGGGCAGCTGTCCCAGGCTCCAGCGCTTACCTGGGGTGAGGCACTGGTGCCCAGGGAGGTGACATGTCCAGCAGCCTCTGGCTGGGTTTTTATAGCCTCCAGATAGAGACAGAGCCCAGGGGAGCATTACTGAAACCCCTAACTCAGCACATGGCGGGGAGGAGGGACCGGCAGAACAAAGGCACCGTGTCACAGACACTGATGAGCCAGGAAGTCGAGCTGGCCCACCAGGCACAGGCTCTGACCCCCACCCACAGCTCCAGAGCTGGGGCATCGCCCCCAGGCCCTGCCAGCACCCCTGCCATGTGCCCACCCTGGCATGGGGCTGAGCTGGGGCCGTGTCCCAGCTCTGGCAGCGCTCCCCCCTGCCCGCAGCAGTGCTGCCTGCACTGGGGGCACCGGGAGGTTTCCTCACCCCTTTCTGGGAAGGGGAGGAAGGACACGTCTCCACTTGCTCTCCCTGCAAGGGCAGAGCAGCTCCACCCTAAATCCGGGGTGACTTGTTGCAGTTTGGGCACACAACAGCCATGGGCACCATGAGAAGTAGGGACCAGGGGCATGGAAATCGGTGGTGGGGGGTTGAAAAGGCACAGGAGGGACTGGAAGTGCAGGACACGACTTGGGAAGAGCTGCAGCAGCCTCCTGCCTCTGTGACTCTGCTGCCACCACATTCTGGGGACCTAAACACCTTCCAGCTTTGCTCACAGTGACCCACACACTGCTGCCACCACATTTTGGGGACCTAAACACCTTCCAGCTTTGCTCACAGTGACCCACACACTGCTGCCACCACATTTTGGGGACCTAAACACCTTCCAGCTTTGCTCACAGTGACCCACACACTGCTGCCACCACATTTTGGGGACATAAACACCTTCCAGCTTTGCTCACAGTGACCCACACACTGCTGCCACCACATTCTGGGGACCTAAATGCCTTCCAGCTTTGCTCACAGTGACCCACACACCTCACAAATCATCCCAGGGTGGTGCCAGGGCTCCAAAGGCTGGGCAGAAGCACTCACCCAGCCTCCCCCTCAGAGTGGGCAGCAGGCAATGGAGGCTCTTGAGCCCAATGGGAAAACCCGTGCCTGCAGGGAGTGCTGTGTTTTGGGACAGAATTTGCCAGAAACCTGCCAGGAGGCTGAGCCACAGTTCCCCTCATGCAGCTGCAGCAGCCCTGTGAGCCTGGGCACGCTGGGGGAGGCAGAGCAGGGCAGCTGGGGGGGCTGCCCCAGGGCACAGCAGGGCTGCACGGGCTGTCCCTGCCACCTGCAAGCCCAGCAAAAGCCCTCTTGGCACTGGCACAATTTGTCCCTGCCCTGTCACTGTGGCCTGAGCTAAACTCAGCTTCCACTGGCCACCAGCACAGTGGCCACCACTCGCTGGCTGTCCACGCCGTGTCCTGGCAGCAGGACACGGTCACTCAGTGCCAGGCAGGGATGCAGCAGCAGGAGGTCCCTGGGCAGTGGGACCCACCAGGGCAGAACAAACCCTCGTGCCCGTGCCCTCCATGGCCACGCTGTGCCAGCTCTGGCCTTCTGCTGCCTGCGCAGCTCTTTGCTGTGCTGGAATTGTGTCCACAGGCTCACCCATGCCAGGGAGGGATGGTGCAGTGAGGGCACAGGGTCCATGGCAGGGCAGAGATTTTGTGTCTGGATGGCTCAGGAATGGCCAAGGATCAATCCCTGCTGTCAGCCCTGCCACAGCACTGGCTCAGGGAAGCCCAGGGGATGCTGAGTGCTCAGTAAGGGGCAAAGCAGCTATCAGGAGCAGAGCTCAGCCCCTCCGAGCTGGTTTTCCAATGCCCAGGTTCAAAGGGGGACTGGGAGCAGAACAGAGCCAGGAGCAGGGGGTGGGTGAGTCCTGCGATTAATGCCCAGGAGGCACAGGAGAGGCAGCACAGGGACAACACCCATGCTGGCTCTGGGAGGAAGGGAGGGCAGGATAAATTAGAAATCTGGATAAAAACCATGGAAACGAGCACAAATTGAAATCGTGAATCATGAAACACTGCTCAGTACGAAGGTGAGAACCAGACTGAGCCAGTGCCCAGGGTGATGGGGCAGCAGACCCCACACCCAGCCACGTCACGGGCACAGCACACCTCCTGAAAAACCTCGGGAAAAGAAGGGATCAATACATTCTTTTTGTTGGGGATTTTGTGCAATAGCCCAGAGGGTGCAGCTGGATCCCACCACTGCTGGGTGACACATGAGAGGAACAAAAGAGGAGGGCAGCACACGGGGCCCTGAGCCCTGTGCCCACACAGCCCTGGGTGAGGCACTGCTGGGGCTGGATGCTGCTGGATGCTGCGGGGGCTGCACAGGGCTGTGGAGATGCAGAAGAGCTGATCAGAGGCTCAGAGGGACTCAGGGAAAGATCCTTCTGAGGTGTCACGGGGTGGGGGAGATGTGGCACCAGAAGCTGAGCTGCTGCAGGGACTGGTGGCAGTGTGTCGCCCTGATTCTTGAGTTTTCTAAAGCCTTCTGAGTTTACATTCTATTGAGAAACTTTCCCACACAGTTTCCGTAAATAACGTGTTGTTTTGCATTCCTTCATGGGGGTGGAGAGACTTGATGTACTAGTGCTTTGTCCAATGTCTTTGGAGACATGGCCCATTCACTCTCCAATCCACTGTCACCTTTGGAAAAGTATAAAAGTTAGAATCAGAAAATAAATTTTCTCTTTTACCTTGCAAAGTGGCAAGTGGCTCGCGTTGTGCTTTCACGTGTCCTATAGCGACAGCAGTGCATCCCCAACGAGCCACCCCACAAGCCTCCTGCACCCATCAGACAGAGCTGATGCCCCAAAACCACGAGGGTGGCGGTGGCAGAACCAGGGGTGGTACAAGGTGACCACAGCACGGGGAAAATGGGCTAAAAAGCAAAGGAAGAACCCTGCCAGTGAGCAGGGACATTCCCAAGGGAGAACAAACACTGTGTTCAGGCACTCAGGTGGTTCAGAAAGTGTCAGCTTCGATTACACATCATTTGGGGAAAAAAACCCTAACTCCTGAAGCATCTCAGAACATTTCAGATCTCGTTTTCTGGCATCTCCAGGGCAGCACAGCGGTGCTTGCGGGTACAGAGTGATGCTCAAAGGGAGAGGTTGAGTGTTTGGAGGGGCGAAACGGGCACAGCGGTGGCAGCGGCACGGGAGTGGGCATCACCCTGGGCACCGGGCAGGGGAGGTGTCCCTGTGGCGGTGCTGGCACCGGCCGGGCTGTGCCAGAGCTATATATGCCCTGCTGGGGCGGCCACACGCGGGGCAGCGGGTGCCGGGCGCGCTGCAAAGTGGCACGGTCAGGTCTTCTGTTGTACGGCGGGCACAAAGGAAAGTGCTGGGTTCAGCGGCTGGGCACGGGGCCGGGGAGAGGCTTCCAGCTCGCCCAGAGCTTTGCAGGATGTGATGACTGGGCGGCCGTGCAGACACTGATGAGCTGGCAGTTCCTTTGTGCGCCCGCCCGGGGGTCTGCCCTTGCCAGGCTATAAAGTGGGGGCCTCGCGGCGCCCCGAAACACAAGCCAGCTCACTCCAACAAGAAGCAGCAGCTGCCCAGGTAAGAGGACAAAGTCCCCGGACACCGGGCTGCAGCCGGACCCGAGGTGGGGAGAGGGAAATTCAGGGTCTAAGCGTGGCTACCGCTGTGGTGGTCACGTCTGGGAGCACCTCTGTGCTCAGCATCCCACCTCCCTCCGCTCCCCGGGGAGCTGCTGCTGACACTCACCTGTGGGGCCACGCAGGCTGCCAGCTGCAGGGCCCCAGCAGACCAGGGCTGTTCCCTTCCCACCCCTCACACGCTGACCTGGAGCCCCCCGAGCTCCCAGGTGCACCCCGTGAGGATGGCCCCGGTGCCTGGCACAGCATCAGGCCCCATCCGTGGGCACTCCTACGGTGCTGGCACCAAGCTCAGGGCCCTCCTGACCACAGAAAGAGAGTGCGGACTCCAGGACCTCCTGTGACCCCCCTAGTAAAGACAGGACCCCTGCCTGTGTCTGCTGGAGAACCTTCCAGCAACCCCCCTCCTGGCCCTGTCCATGACCCCATTGAGAGTCCCCATGCAGATGTCACGTTCCTGGGGCGGGTTGTGGGTGCCCACATCTGTTCCTCCCTCTAACCTGCTGCTGGTGCCCTGTCACAGACTTGAGCCCACCACCGCGATGTCTGAGACCACAAAACCCGCTGCTCCCGGCCAGGCTGTGGATGACAAGGAGAAGGCAGCTCCTGCTCCAACTCCATCCCTCGACCCTGCTCCTGTCGCAAACAGCAAGGGCGAGGAGCCCTCCCCAGAAGCCTTCAGGGTAAGCCCTGTGGCTCCCCACGTGCAGGGACATGCTCCAGGCTGAGGGACAGGGCAGCATCTTGGGGCAGAAGGAGATTGTTCCAGGGGGAAGGACTGTGGAAGTGTGGGAGATGCCATCCTTGCTCTGTCCCTGGACTGTGGAAGTGTGGGAGATGCCATCCTTGCTCTGTCCCTCTGACAGCAGG